ACCTTCCTCCCCTCTCCATCCTCCCCTCACCTTCCTCCTTTCTCCATCTTCTTCTTACTTCCTCCCCTCTCCATTCTCAACTCACTTTCCTCCTCTCTCCATCCTCTCCTCTCCATCCTCCCCTCACCTTCCTCCCCTCTCCATCTTCAACTCACTTTCCTCCTCTCTCCAGCCTTCCCTCACCTTCCTCCCCTCTCCATCTTCCCCCCTCCTTCCTCCCCTCACCAACCTCCCCTCACCATCCTCCCCTCATCTTCCTCCCCTCTCCATTCTCCCCTCACCTTCCTCCCCTCTGTATCCTCCCCTCACCTTTCTCCCCTCACCACCCTCCCTCACCATCCTCCCCTCGCCTTCCTCCCCTCTCCATCCTCCCCTCATCTTTCTCCCCTCTTCATCCTCCCCTCACTTTCCTCCCCTCTCCATCCTCTGCTCACCTTCCTCCCCATCCATCCTCCCCTCTCCATCCTTCTCTCACCTTCCTCCCTCATCTTCCTCCCCTCCATCCTCCCCTCTCCATCCTCCCCTCACCTTCGTTCCCCTCCATCCTCCCCTCACCTTCCTCCCCCCTCATCCTCCCTTCTCCCTCCTCTATCTTCCCGTCCCCCTCCTTCCCTTCCATCCTCCCCTTTCCATCCTCCCCTCACCGTCCTCCCCTTGGCCTCCTCCCCTCACCTTTCTCCCCTCTCCATGCTCTCCTCTCCATCCTCCCCTCATCTTTCCCCTTAATCCTCCTTTCTCCACCATTCCCTCTCCATCCTCCCCTCACCTTCTTTCCCTTCCATCCTCCCCTCAACTTTCCTCCCCTCTCCATCCTCCCTCACCTTCCTCCCCTCTCCATTCTCCCCTCACCTTCCTCCTCCTCCTCCATCCTCCCTTCTCCATCCTCCTCTCTGCATCCTCCCCTCACCTTCCTCCCCCTCCATTCTCCCCTCACCTTCCTCCCCTTGGCCTCCTCCCCTCCGCATCCTCCCTTCGGCCTACTCCCCTCCCCATTCTACCCCCCTACCTTCTTCCCCTCTGTTTCCTCCCCTCTGCATCCCTTGGCCTTCCACTCTCTGTTTCCCCCATGGGGGAAGTAACACACATTTGCCTGATAAACAGAGGCAGTCTCCGGTGCCTGGCACCTGCTGGTTTCCCCTCGCCTGTGTTCGTGTTTGGGACTTTCATTGTAAGTATCAATGGAAGCGGTTTGAGTCTAGGTATTTGGAAGTTTGAGGCCCCTTAGTCTGGCCCGTGCCATTGGGCACATCGATGCCAGAGGCCCCTCACCTTGGCACCTCCCCATTTAGATGTGAACAAACAGTGTCATTTTACAGCCCCCGTGTGGCGCTTTGAGTGGTCCAGGCCAAGGCACAGGCGGGGCGCCCACCCTGCACCCCATGTTCTCCCACGGCGCCTCCCTCCTGGAGGGGCTGGCGGTATTGGAAACACCGAGGAAACCCAGCGGCGCTCCCTCCTGTCCCCTCCTGCAGGCACCTGAAGGAGATCTCCGAGCTGCAGAGCCAGCAGAAGCAGGAGATCGAGGCTCTGTACCGCCGCCTGGGCAAGCCACTGCCCCCCAACGTGGGCTTCTTCCACACGGCACCCCCCACTGGCCGCCGGAGAAAAACCAGCAAGAGCAAGCTGAAGGCGGGCAAGCTGCTGAACCCCCTGGTGCGGCAGCTCAAGGTCGTGGCCTCCAGCACAGGTCGGCCTCCGGGTGCAGGGCTGGGATGGGAGCGGGCCTGGGGACCCCTGAGTGAGCCTGGGAGGTAGGCTCCGTGCAGGTGTGACACCCTCGGACCTCGAAGACCACTCGGGGTTGTCTCCTTACTGAATCTCCTTCCCTGGAGCAGGGGAGTCATTGCAGCATGAAGGCAGTCCTGGTCCTCTGTCCTCATGCAGAGAGAGGCAAGGTCCGTGAGTGGGCAGGGGCTGCTCAGCGCTGGGCCTGAGCCCCTAGGCTGCAGGCTGTGCCAGGGAAGCTCAGGCTGCCCTCCCTCACCTGCTCCTCTGCAGGGCACTGCGTGGACGGATGGCGGCTGCTTCCTTTGACCCATTTCTCGGTGTGTGCCAGCTGAGCAGCTGTCGTTAGGGGCTGGGGAGGACGGGAGGACGGTGATGATCTCCCAGTCTTGTTAAAGCTGACACCTAGTCCTGGAGTGGCACTGTCCTGGCCCCGGGCAGTCACCAGCCCACATCCCTGCGTGTCAGGGCTTCCTGAGACCTGCTGAGCAGCAGTGCAGCCTGCTTGCTGGTTGAGAGCCCCGGCACTCTGGGCTGGAACCCCTGTGAGCCCAAGTCCCCAAGCATGCCAGGCAAGCCACCGTAAGCTCACTGTAAGCCCACAGCCTTTGGGGTACACATCCATGAATTATACCCATTACACGAATTCAGAGACAGTTCCCAGAGCTAAGGGAAGACTGAGATGAGAAGTACACAGGCCACTCTGTGCCTGGGTGTGTCTTCTGTCACTGTATTTGCTCAACGCAAGTCCCGCACGGTAGTGGGGGCTGGTAGAGACTGGGCACTTTCTTTGCTCTTCCCCATCACTCCTGTGTGGGAGATGCGGCCATGTGCCTGTGGTCTGCAGGAGATGTGAGCTTCCCCAAGGTCACCCAGCAACGAGCAGGCAGAACAGACTCGATCCACACAGCCCCGACCCGGCGGGCCTCATCGTGCCTGTCGCCTCTTCTCCCCCCGCCCAGGTCACTTGGCTGACTCCAGCAGAGGCCCTCCCGCTAAGGACCCTGCCCAAGCCAGTGCGGGGCTCACTGCAGACAGCACGGGCCTGAGCGGGAAGGCAGTGCAGACCCAGCAGCCCTGCTCCGTCCGGGCCTCCCTGTCTTCGGACATCTGCTCCGGCTTAGCCAGTGATGGAGGCGGAGCGCGTGGCCAAGGTGATTTCCAGCTTGCCTGTCTCCGAGCATGTGCTAGCCACGTAGGGCCTCAGTGGTGTCCCCAGGAGCACGCCCATATTGTGTAGAGGGGTTGCGAGCTGTGGCAAAGGCTGTTGAGAGGCTTCTTTTAAAAAGGAGAAAGAAAAGAAAAAAGACGTAGTCTGTGGATGAAAGGAATGGAGTTGTCCCAACCACCACCAAGTCTTGCTTGTCAGCAGCTCAGGGGGAGGTGATGCTTTGCTAGAGCGGACCTTGGGGAAGTGGCTAGGACTGGGGAGGGCAGGGGACCTGGCATCCGGCCGTGTGCTCCGGCGCCAGTTCCCAGGCACTGGCTGCCCCACCCCCACCCCCACAGCGGAGCCAGATGGTGCTAAACACCGGGTCCTTCCAAAGTCCAGAGGGCCGGCTGGGGGGACGAGGGCACAGCTTTCGAGCTGGGAGTTTGGCCTTGAGGAGGAAATTCTCTCGTCAACGCTGCGTGGACAGCAGCAGCTGCTCAATAAGGTGCTCTCCTGTCCTCACCATCTCTGTCCAGAGAAATCATGGTGACCATGAAGCCGCCCCGCCCCGCCCACCCCACCCTGCCCGCCCCTCTCCGGGCTGCTTCTCTTCTGCTCTCCCGCTGCCTCCTTCCCATTACATGGTCAGTGGCTTTGGTGCTCCGGGCTGGGCTAGATGGAGCCGTGGATGTTAAGTGACGAGGCTGGTGTGGCTGTTGGTGTGGAGGAGGAATCGCAGCAACCTGTACTTGATGAGTGTCTCTTTGTTTTCTTCCCTTTATATTCATTTGCAGGCTGGACGGTTTACCACCCAACGTCTGAGAGAGTGACCTATAAGTCTAGTAGCAAACCTCGTGCTCGATTCCTCAGTGGACCCGTATCTGTGTCCATCTGTCTGTATTTGTTCTTTTGTATTTTATCACCTCCTGGCCCTTGGTTTTCTCCCCCGACCCCCTCCCTGTCTTCATTACCTTTCATACATTTCATAGGATGCCTCCCCCACCCCATTGAAGTCACCTATTTAATATCAAAGTGGAACCCCATGAGTCGGTCCCCGGAGCGGCGGCCGCCCGCGCCTACCCCCCAGCCCCGCACAGCGCGTGTGCATGCTCATGGCTGGTGCCTGGGCACGGAAAGCATGTGCAGCGGCTGGCCTGCCTTCCGCCCCGGGCACCTCTGCCCAGATGGTCTGGGGCCCTTTGCGTTTTTTTCGTCACCTCATTTATTTAATTTTTTTTATGTTGGATGTAGTTTTTTTTTTCTGTTGCAATTGTGGCAAATATACATGTCCGCTGTCCCCAGTTCCAGCGACAACAAAAAGACAACCCCAACCTCCTCCAGATGCACAGTGTGTGTCACGCGTGTCTGGACTGTGAAGACATGCACATAGTGAGCCTATACGGTTCTAAAGGTCACTGGAGGGCGTGGTTTCTGTACCAGGGCCAGATCCCAGCACCCAGTACCCTGCCTACCCACCGCCCCGCGCCCTGCATGTGGAAATGCTGAGAGAACGTGCTCCAGTTCGGGCCTCCCCAGCCCCTCCCCACTGGAAGGGCAGGTCTGGTCCCCTCTGTCATTGCTCCTCACCCACCGCTGTCTCCAACCCGAAATAGGAGAGTGACGGCCTCCCGGGCAGCTCTTCTTTGGAGCATGCATCCTGCCTGGCCGGCTCCTTCCCTTCCTCCAGCCAGTGGGAGCACTTTAACTGCTGTATTTTCCTGTCATCTCCTGTGACCACAGGGATGAAGTCAATGACGCAGTTCCTCCAATCGCTACTAAGCCAAAACCCAGTCCCAGCCTTGCTCAGATCCCCTGGAACACAGTTAGTGCCCAAGATCTCCATCTCCAGGGAAGGCTCTGCCTGCCTGGGGCCGTCCCAAAGCAGGCAGTCTGTTTTTCACCCTCAGGACAATCGGCCAGTGAACCAAAAGCTGCGAGATTTTTAGGCTTTTGTCTTTTTAACAGGAAAATTAAGCTTTTTAACAATTGGATTGGATATGCTGGTTTGGGGCACGTGACTTTTTGCTTGTACAATAAAGATACATTGTACTTGTTGGGAGCCAGAGGCCATGCCCGTGGGAGGCGTCCACTGCCATCCACCCACTCCATCAGAGGTCCACGTGGGTCATCGTTCTCCAGGCAGGCAGGTCGAGGACACAAGGGCCTTGTAGAAATGCCAGGGCCTTCCCAGGGCTTCCCGTTCGTCTGTTTAACAGGCTGCCCCGTTTCGGCCACCGTGTCGTCTGGGCCGTTAGTCTGTGGGTCTGGGCGGCCTGGTGTCTGGTGAGTTGCTGAGTTGAGTCTGGGGAGGGGTGGGCGCCTCCCCCCACACCCCTGCGTCTCTGGGTCCTCTTATGGCAGCCAGCTGTGGTTCCTTCTCCGCAGCCGGTTCCCGGCCCTGCTGGCCTTGTGCCTCACTTGCTGCTCCTCTTCCGGCTCCTGTGTGTGTGGCTCGATCTGGGGCTGTCACTGGGGGCGAGGGCACCTGGGAGACTCAGTGCAGGGCGTTGCTGTCGGGTATGGCACCTACCCAGGCCCCACTTCCACCCCCGTGCTGTGTTTTGTGGTATTGCTTGTTTTCACGGCTTAGCCCCCATCAGGCAAGTCTTGGTCTTAGTCTTTTTGGGCCATAACGTCTCCCCCAATCCCCTGACACTCTGAAGTTGCTGGCCAGGGAGAGCCCAGGTGGGCCTCTGCCCTGGGCACCTCTCAAGCCCTGTCTGGATCAGCTCCAGGCCTCTGAAGTCTCTGCCACTCTGCTGGGATGTGGCTGGGACGGGCCCCTCCTGTCTCTGCCCTGGGCTCTGGAGGCTGGACTTCTTGTTGAGCCATCCACTGGCACATCTGCCGCTCCTGGGTAACCCACAGGGCAGCGCAAAAGAGAAGGGAGAGCTGTGGGGTCTGTGAGGAGACCAGGCACCTCCAGGGGAAAGACTGCAGGGGCGGGGGCAGCCCTGTGAGCGCTGAGGCTGAGGACTTGGGCGGAGGCCGTGGGATTGCGCCAGGCTTGGAGGCCAGGAGGGAGGGATGCAGGCAGGGGTAGTGTGAGCAGATGGGCAGGAAGACGCTGAGGTGGGTGCATGGAAGATGCCGAGGGGTCGGGGGTCGCGCTGCAAGTAGAGGAGGAGCGGGGTGGATGCCAAGGCGTGGCTAGGGAGGGGCAGCCGGCGCAGCCTGTGCAGCCGTCGCTCCCTAGGCCCTAGGGAGAGCTTTGAGCTCACTCTCCTGGTGTGGGGCACCTCACTTCCTGGAAGAGAAAGTTCCAGGAAAACAGAATGTGTTAAATTTTGAAGTGTAGAGGGAGCCTGGCCTCTGTGAAGATCAGAGGAGATAAAATGGCCCCAGGCAGGGTGGGTTGAGGCCAGGCCAGAGGGTGGGCTGGGGGTGCCCAGGTGGCTGTGCCCAGGGATAGAGCAGGGCAGTGCCGCAGGCACCTCCAGAGGCCTGAGCTGACTCGAGGTGCAGGACAGGGAATAAAGCAGTGGAGGCTGGGAGCAGCAGGTGGACAGACCCCTAGGGAGTGCAAGGCCCCTGCTTGGAACCCCTATGAGCTGGGCCCCTTGGCACAGACCTGTCACCCAGCTTGCAGATGCCCCCTTGTGGTCAGCAGATGCTCTGGGGAGCTCACATGACTCAGTGCCCCAGAGCAGTCTTTTTTTTTTTTTTTTTTTTTTTGAGACAAAGTCTCACTCTGTTACCCAGACTGGAGTGCAGTGGCGAGATCTCAGCTCACTGCAACCTCTGCTTCCCTGGCTCAAGCAATCCTCCCACCTCAGCCTCCCAACCACAGGTCTGCACCACCACACCCAGCTACTTTTTTTTGTATTTTTAGTAGAGACAAGGTCTCACCATATTGCCTAGGCTGGTCTAGACCTCCTGGGCTCAAGTGATCCACCCACATTGGTCTCCCAAAGTGCTGGGATTATAGGCGTGAGCCACCTCACCTGGCCCAGTGCATTCTAAGGGATGTTGCCCTTGGAGACGGGGAGGAGGGTCAGGTGCCGATGCTGAGATGGCACCTCTGGTCATGGTTCTGTTGGTTCTGCTGGTTAGAAACGGGTCCTTCTGGATCCTCCCACCTGACCGGGCAGGTGCTGGCACCCTGTGGGCCTTTCTCTGCACGCTAGAGCCATGGGATTTCTCTTTGGGTTTTCTCCATGTTGGCTGTTGGCTGCAGCATGTTTGGCTCAGGCACCCTCCGGTGTCACTGCACGGTCCCTTCTAGGCCTTCTCCCACCGTGGAATGCTTTCATCCCTCCTGGCGGGGAGAGAGTGCGTGCTCAGCGAGCCCCTTCGCAGCAGGTGTTCAGGCGGCCTCGGGGTAGAGGGCATCCAGAGACGAGGGCCCCCACCCTGCACTGCGCCCACCGGCCCCTGCCCTCTGCAGCCAGCGTGGTCAGTGCTGCGCACCGCTGTGGGCTGTCTGTGGAGCAGGCCTGTGTGCGACAGGGCCTAGTGCAGTGTGGGGTCATTTAGCTCAGGGCAACAAGAAGACAGCCTCAGGTCTCCCTGGGCAGAGCCAAGGCGGATCCTGCTTCCCAATGCATGCTTTGTAGACAGTTTTTGGCTCAAAAACATGGTTGTTCAATACGTAGACACCCTAAAAGGGGTTTCGTCCCTGGATGCCCGTTTTTCTCTTGTGAAAAAGGAGCCAGTGCTGACCGTGGTGGGGGCTGACCAGCTGAGGGCGCGTGGGAGGTTGAAGGGGGCTGAGGTGAAGCCACCAGGGCGCCCGTGACGGGAGGTGAGCTGCCCTGGCTGTCCTGTGGGCTGCTGGGCGGTACCGAGCCCTGTGAGGTGAAAAGTGAGTGTGACAGATCGCTCGGGGGCTGACCACGTTTTAGGCCCCCTGTCCCAGGCACACACCCTCCGTTTGAATCCTTCGTGGTTGAGATGTCTTCTTGGCCACAGGCTGAGGGTCTGGACGGGGCAGGTGCTCGGGCCACCCAGAGGCCAGGGCCGTTGACCCGAGAGCAGGCTGTTTCTGTGCCGGAGTGAGTCAGGGCTGGAGTGGGGAGGGAGCCTCCGCTTGTGCCTCGGGGCTTCAGCCGATGTCGGCTGCACAAAAGCAGGAGATGCCAAGTCCAAGAGCCGGCCCTCCTGTCGTCCTGTGTGCTGCCACTTTACATTCTGGGAAGAAAGCAGCGGATCTCCCAACAGCTGGGATGAGGCTGCCAAGCCCCCGCCCCAGCACCACTGAGCAGTCCAGGGCCTTGGCGCTGCCTCTTCCTGGGGCTGGCTAGGGACGGAAGCCCCACAGGGAGACCGAGGTGGGCCTGGCATCAATCAGCAGCCTCCTGAAAGTTTCCTTCGTTCTCCCATTGCTGCCTTATGGACAGGAGGTGGGGGTGCTTGTCCTGGCACAGAGCGAGTGGCAGGGGGCCGGGGGGGCTGTCTTCGGGTGCCGTCTGCATGGTGGGCAAGTGAGGGGCAGGGCCCAATGCAGGCTGAGGCTCTGGAGAGGTGGACTAAGGAGCCACCTAAGGATGGGCAGGGCTGTCCAGAGTGTGGAGAGGTCTCTGCCCCAGTCCAGTTGTCTGCAGTGAGTGGCCTTGAAAGGCTGGCACCCATCAGTTTGCCCGGAGGTCTAGGAGCCGTCTGCACACTGGTCACTGGGGCCCGAGTTTAGGAAGGGCCCATGGAGGCCTCCGTGGGCCAGGGTTGCTCCCTGGCTCTGAGCAGGTGCGGTGTCCACACACTCCAGACCCCGGGTTCCCAGGGTGGTGAGTCAGTCCCAGCTCTGATCGCAGGTCCAGGCTCCCTCTGGTGGTTCCCAGCCAGCAGCTGGCCTGTTTGGTGTTCTTCCCAGCATGGCAACAGCCAGGAATTAGCCCTGAATGTAGAGTTCCAGCCACACCAAGAGCTACCAGATAGGCACAGAGCAGCTTTTTGAAGCACCTGGCTTAGGGCCATCTACATGGGACCATGGGCTATAGCCCCCCACAAAGCCTGCCAGGGAAATTGGTGCTCACCCAGTGCCCCTACACATTGGATCCCCCCTAGGCTACATCACAGACTTCAGGGGCCCCTCCTGCGCTACAGAAAACCAGCCATACCTCCCCTGCAAACTTCAGTGAGCCATCGAGGGGATACCAGCTCTGTGTTCCTGGCAGGGTTTCATCTCAGAACAGAGCAGCCAGGGAACAGCCCTTCGGAGCTGCTCACCCAGAGCCTACTGGTCTGAATCCCTCCCGCTGGGCTCCCTCCTTTTTATTTGAACAGTCAAGTCTGCAACAGAACGCCACCTCACCTTTCTTTCCCCACATTAGCTCAGGAACAGACAGAATGGACTAAAAATACTCAGTCGAGCTAAGTTTCCAAGTCCAGGACGCACAGCTCGGGCCGAGCGTGGGCCGAGGAGCTGGACAACAAGTTGCCCACTGTCCCCCGAGGCGGGAGGCATGGGCCCTTCTGGAGAAGGCAGGCAGATGTTGCCAGGTTTTCTGAGTCCCCGGAAGATCAGAGTCGCTCCTGTTTGGGTCTCTCGGGAACAGCTCCCTGCTGCGGAGGGACTGTGCTCCTGGCAGGGGGCCGTGGGCTGGAGTGTAGACAGAGCCTCCGTGCTAGTGTGGCTTTGCTGAGTGACCTTGGGGAAGCCTGAGCCTGTTCTTGCCCGTCCCAGCTCTGCCTGCCCATAAGGATAAGCGGGGATGGCCGCGCCTTCCGGCCCAGCCTGCCCTGGGGACCTTGTCCCCACCAGGCTGGGCACTGACTGGCTAGGACGTTGCATCCAGTGTATACCAGGTGGCCTCTGGGTAGTTGGGACCAGTCAGTTTAGTGGCGGTCCCAATTACAAGGAGGCCAGAAGTGTTCCAGGCTGAGGCCTTGCCCTACCCCTTGTAGATACTGACTTCTAATGAGGCGGCAGTGTCCCCAGACATTGAGGTCAGTCCCTAGATAGAAACCCTCGGGTCCTCTACTCAATGCCTGCCGCTGACCTCATCACCTGAGGCAGCCATCTGAGATCCAGACTTGGCCTCCAACCTGCAAAACAATGTATCTTTTTGCACTTGGAAAACCTCTGATGGGCTTCGGCGGCCAAGCCCAGCCGTGCCCGGCTCCATTCCAGAGCTCCCGTGGCCGACTCTCAGCAGGGTGTCCTGCCTCCGTCAGTGGGGCTCCCAGAAGCCTGATGTTTGAAAGCCAAGCGCTGTGCTTTGCTTTTTTCTTTTTTTCTTTTTTCTTTCTCTTTTACTTTTCTTTGAATATGCTTCTAGAGACAAACACTTCTCCCTGAAGCTTGGGGGCTTGGCCCTGGCACCTCTGCCCCCTCGGCGAAGCTCGTGGGAGCCTGCACCCTCTCTCCGGGGGCTGCCCCGTTTCCCCCAGCCGGGTCGGCCCTCTCTCTGAACTGCTGCCTGTGTCTGCCCCTCCCTGCACACTGACGACTTTTGCTTAGTGTGGTAGCGTGTCCCGGTGTGTGCTGTTCTGCCTAACTCTGTGGTCTTGTGTCGTTTCTTTCTCCCTTGCAGGGTCTGCCCTGAAGCGTCTCTGCCTAGGCAAAGAACACAGCAGTAGTAATTATCCGGGTTTTTTCCCCCTTTGTCCTCTCTCATTGCATGGGCTTTCTCGTGGCTAGTACACATCAGGGTTCCCGCGGCTGGGCGGGCGTGGGCCGGCCCTGTGCCTGCCCCGCGCCTGCTCCATGCCTCTCGGCCAGGCGCCGCTTCGCTTCTGCCTGGCGGGATCGCTGCCCTCGGCTCCCCCGTGTGTCTCCGTGGCGCCTAGAGTTTGTGCGGTCTCGCCAGTTCACATCTAACGGGCTTATCCTTCCCCGGAACACCCGCGAATTGCCAATCATTAATTGGCTCCTTTTCCAAAACCATAGGAATGAGTATTTCCTTGAAGTCCTAAAGATGAGTGCCTCCCCACGAGGAGAGATGCCAGGACTGAGTGGGTATTAGTCTCCCTGGGCCACTCACCTTCTCTCTCTCTCTCATCTTTCTCTCTTGAAAAAAATTTTTTTTTCTTTTCTGGCTGAACTTTTCATGTAGGAATAGCTCCATGTGTGTCAAATCTCATCACTAATTTTTAATTGTCTGTGTCTGTGCTTTTTCATTGCTAGCCACTAAAGTCCACTACATTTTGGGACAGCTTGTTTGAAGAGATGGTCATTAGGCTGTTTTTCTATGCAGAACATTTTTAAATTGGCTTATTCAAAATTGCCAACCAGAAATGACATGTGTTGCGTGGAAAGGGTATGATTTAAAAATTTTAAAGTCTCGTTTATGCTTTGAATGAAGCAGCCGAGTGCTCTGGTGTGCTAATAGTCAGCAGAGCGGCTCCCAGCTCGCTCCTGCAGCAGGGCGTTGGCCGCAGCCCACGGCAGGAGCTGGTGGGGCCTCATGAGGCAGCCCCAGGCATGGGTACCCTTTATGAATACCTTCCTCTAACGCTCTGGTCAGGACAATTTCTACGTCTGGAATTCCAAACAACCAGACCATTAAAATTCATGGGAATGCAAGTCAGACAGCCCTGGCAGGCATTTTCCCGCGGGCCAGGGGGCCGCCTGCAGGCCAGCCAGCCGCGTGTGCTGAGCGCTCACACAGTACTCCACCGCCCCCGCGTCCTCATGTTACGGCTGAGGATGCACAGGCCAGAGAGAGCCCGAGGAACCTGACTCTAGGCACCGTGACGCCGAAGCCCAGTGTGTCTGGCTGTGCCAGGAGTTTCCTGAGCTCTCTCACACGTGAGTCTGGGGACGGGCAGCGGTGGGCACAGAGTGGATGCTGAGCAGAGGCTGCCGGCTGCTACAGGGTCCTGTCCCCTGGCCTGGCTTCTGAGGTGGGTGATGGCCACCTGGCACAGCCCATGGAAATGCCCCACCGTGTCTGACCCTGGGCAGCCAGGCCCCTTAGTCCGACCGCCTCTTGAAGCAAGGTGCTGCCTGGCCCAAGTGAGACCATTGTCTCAGCTGTCACGTAAGAACGAATGCGGCCAGCCCACTGGGGGCCTGGGCGCATGTGTGGCGTCACCAATCCTGGCCTGTGTGTGACTCCCCAGGGTCCTCCACCAGCAGCCTGGCCCCAGGCCCTGAGCCAGGCCCCCAGCCCGCCCTGCACGTCCAGGCGCAGGTGAACAACAGCAACAACAAGAAGGGCACCTTCACGGACGACCTGCACAAGCTGGTGGATGAGTGGACGAGCAAGACGGTGGGGGCCGCACAGCTGAAGCCCACGCTCAACCAGCTGAAGCAGACCCAGAGGCTGCAGGACATGGAGGCCCAGGCAGGCTGGGCTGCCCCTGGCGAGGCGCGGGCTGTGAGTGCCGGGCGGGCGGGGCGGGGGCTCCTGGGGTGGGGTAGCCTTGCCTCCAGCATTTGCTAGTGCCCTGTGTGGCAGAGGGGTGTCCAGTTAAGCTCTTCACTCTCATGATCCGAGTTCATTCTCCCCACAGCCCCAAGAACTAGGCTTCTCCACATTACAGATTGGGAGGTGAGCGACGCGCCCACAGCTCTGCAGCTGGCAGGTGGAAAGGCCAGGCCAGGCCAGGCCAGGCCAGGCCGGGGCTGTGACTCCACAGCTCAGATACAGCAGCAGCCCCAGCCTGGGCAGCCCGAGCCCTGCACTCAGAGCAGGTGGCCCCGGTCTTGGCGGACGGACCCACCTCTGCCTGGGTTCTGTTTGTGCCCAGGCTGGAGACCAGGGCAGCTGTGCTTGTCACCCAAGTGACACCAGCCTCGGGCCGTAGCTCACACGCACCTGAGCCAACGTGGGGCAGAAGTGAGGACCTGCTGTCCCAGGTTTCACACCTAACTTGTTCTGATGTCAGCGCGAGTTGGAGAAGCATCTGCTGTTTCCCAGCTTTCTGGAGGGTTCGTGGAAGACTGGTGTTATTTCTATCTCAGATACTTAGTAAAGGTCATTTGTGAAGCCATCTGGGCTGGAGTTTTGTTTTTCTCTTTTTTAGCGTGGGATACTTTCCTCTATGATCTTTTACCTTACAAATTTTCAAACACACAGGAGAGTTGAAAATTCTGCCGTGAACATCCTTAGTTAGACCCACTGCGTACACTCTGACTGACATTTTTGCTGTATTTATCACACACCTATTCATTCCTTGAGGGTCCAGTTGTTACTATGGATTCAATTTCTTCTGAACTTTCCACACCATTTGGATTTTCTGTTTCGTTTTGTTAAATTCTGCCTTTCTGGCGATTGGTATCTCTCCTCTAAATTTATCTAAAATTGTAAATTGCCATAAAATTATCCATAATAGCTTTTATTTTTTTCCATTTGCGGGATTTACAGTGATGTCCTGATTTCATTCCTGATGTGGTGATTTCTGCCTCCTCTCTCTCTGCCTCCCCTTTGCTCTTTTTCTTTATGCAGTCTCCTTAGGGGTGTACATTTTATTAGCCCATTCGAAGAACACATTTTGTGTTTGATAGTCTTTAGTGTGTGTTTCATTAATTTATTTTCTTATTTCTTGCCTTCTATCTTTGGGTTAATTTTGTTGTTCTGGAAAGTTTCTTAAGACATGTTCATTGATTTCTAGCCTTTCCATGATAATGTAGGCATTCAAGGGTATAAAGTGCCCACTGATGGTTTTAGCTGCATCCCCAAAGTGTGCAGCTTCTCATTAACTTTTGTTTGAAGATATTGTATAATTTCTGTTGCTATTGGAAGTAAGTGTGGTTGTTAGTTTTCAGATGACCTTTTGTCAGTGTGTTTTCGTGTGGCCGCACTGTGCTAGGAGAGCAGACTCGGTGCTTTCGGTCTGTGGAGATCTTCCGGGACTGGCTGTTGACCCGGCTGTCAGTCTTTGTTGCTGTTCCAGATGCTGGAGCTGAATCTGTTTCCCTCTCTCCACATCCACACTCCCAAGCTGCACCACTGTGACTTCCGTTCTGAACCACTGCAGGGCCCTCTTGACAGGTACACCTCCGCCAGTCTGAGTCCTCAGATTGATTCTCAGTGGAACCCCATTATTCTAGGACAAAGTCAGGAATCCTGAACATGGCCCCACAGCTCTGTGAGGCTGCGCCTGGAGCCTGGGCCCGCTCATCTCTGCTGCCTGGGCTCCAGCTATGTCGGCGTTCAGGATTAGCAGAGCTAACTGTTGTTCAGATATTCTGGATTCTCTTTAAGTATAAGGGTTTTTTTAACTATTATTTTTGTCATGGCAAAAAATATAAAACACAAAATTTACCATTTTACCCATTTTCAAACGTACAGTTCAGTGGCATGAAGTACATTCAGAGCACTGTGCAACCATCGCCATCCATCCACTGAACCTTTTCATCTTCCCCAAGGAAACTCTGTCCCCATTAAACACTAGTTCCCCAGCCCTCTCTCTGGCACCTCTGGTTTCCCAGGCCCTGGTAGCCTCTGTCCGTCCTTCTGTCTCTATGACTTTGACAACTCGAAGTACCTCATATAAATGGAACCATATACAGTATGTGTATGATTGGTGAGTGGCTTATTTCATTTGATACAATGTTTTCAAGGTGCATCCATGTTGTAGTATGTATCAGAACTTTTGAAAATCAGCCAGGCGTGGTTGCACATGCCTGTGGTCCCAGCCACCCGGGAGGCTGAGGTGGGAGGATTGCTGGAGCCCAGGAGTTCGGGGCTGCAGTGAACTATGATCGCACCACTGCACTCCAGCCTGGGCGACAGAGCAAGACGCTGTCTCAAAAATAAATAAATCCAGAATACTGTGCTGCCACCACCACTGTTCATCTCCACCTTTTTTTATTGTGTGAAACTCTGTACCCATTAAATAATAACTCCCTATTGTCCCTCCCCCAGCCTCTGGCAACTTCCATTCTGCTTCCGGTCTCTCTGACTTTGACTCCTCTATGTACCTCACAGAGTGGAATCACACAGTGTCTGTCTTTTTCCACTGGCTTATTCCACTTAGCAAAATGTCCTCCAAGGGCACCCTTGATGACATCCATGTTGTAGCATGTCCGATTTCCTTTCCTTTGAAGGCCGAGTGATAGTTCATTGTATCTGTGTACCACATCCATTCTCAGTGGAATCCTGTTATGGGATTGTCTGTCATTTCTGTCAGTGGATAGTTGGGTGACTTCCATCTTTTAGCTGTTATTAATCTGCTGTGAACATAGTATCCCTTCAAGATCCTGCTTTTATCCTTTTGGGTATAAACCCAGAAGTGGAATTGCTGGATCATATGATAATTATATGATAGTTTTTCGAGGAACTGTTTTCAATAACAGCTATACCATTTGACATTTCCACTAACAGTGCACAAAACTTCCAGTTTCTCCACATCTGTGCCAACAGAAGATTTCCTTTCTGGGTTTTTTGTTTTTGTTTTTTTGTTGTTTTCTTTTTTTTTTTTTTTGAGACAAGAGTTTTGCTCTTTGGCCCAGGCTAGAGTGCAATGGCACGATCTCGGCTCACTGTAACCTCCACCCCTCAGGTTCAAGCAATTCTCCTGCCTCCCGAGTAGCTGGGATTATAGTTGTCTGCCACCATCGCCAGCTAATTTTTGTATTTTTAGTAGAGGCGGGGTTTCACCATGTTGGTCAGGCTGGTCTCGAACTCCTGACCACAAGTGATTCACCCGCCTCAGCCTCCCAAAGTGCTGGGATTACAGGCGTCAGCCACTGCACTTGGCCATCCTTTCAGGTTTTTGATGGGAGCCATCCTCTCAGGTGTGAATTGGTATCTTGTGGTTTTGCTTTACATTTTCCTAATTAAGTAGTGACATTGAGCAGCTTTTCATGTGCTTATTGGCTGTTTCTATGTCTTCCTTGAAGAAGTATTTATTGAAGTCTTCTGCCAATGTGTGAATCAGCTTGTTTAATTCATTGTTGAGTTTTAGGAATTTTCTGCATAATCCAGATATTAATCCCTTATCAGATACATGATCTGTTGGTAGTGCCTTTGGATGCACTAAAGTTTTAAAATTTGTCTTGTTTTCATTTGTTGCCTATGCCTTTAGTGTAATATCCAAGAAATCACTGCCAAATCCAATGTCGTGAAACCTTTTCCTTAAGTTTTCTATTAAGAGTTTTCTGGTTTTTGCTTTGACATTTAGAATGAGTTGATTTTTTCTTCTTCTTCTTTTTTCCTAAGATTGTGTCTCACTCTGTTGCCCAGGCTGGAGTGCAGTGGCGCAATCTCAGCTCACCACAACCTCCACCTCCTGGGTTCAAGCAGTTCTCCTGCCTCAGCCTCCCAAGGAACTGGGACTACAGGCGCCCGCCACCATGCCCAGCTAATTATTTTATTTTATTTTTAGTAGAGACGGGATTTCACCATGTTGGCCAGGATGGTCTCAATCTCTTGACCTCATGATCCGCCTGCCTCGGCCTCCCAAAGTGCTGGGATAGGGTTGATTTTTGTGAGGCAAGGCAGGGCTCCACCTTCTTTTTTTGGTATGTGCATATCCAGTTTTCCCCACAGAAGTTGTTGAAAACTGCTTTCCCCCTTGAATGGTCTTGGCCCCCTCGTGGAGAGTCACTGCAGCGTGAGTTACCTTCATCTCTGGGCTCTCCTCTCCTGTTACTCCCGCAGTGTGTTACTCATCCACCTCGTGGTGGACCACAGACCCCTCTGGCTCTGTCCACTCTGCCACCTTTTTCCTCTGCTTCTCACACAATCATTTCAAGTGTCTCCAGCTTGCTGATTCTTTATTCTGCCTGCTCAGATCTGCCAGTGAACCCCTCTAGTGAATTTGTAAATGTCAGTTACTGTTTTCAGCTCTTCTAGTTCCACTCGGTCCCCTTCATAATTCCTGTCTGTTGATATCCTCGTCGTGTTCCTGTGTGATTTTCCTGACTTCCTGCAGTTCTGTGTCCGTGGCTTCCGTGAGTTCTTTGAGCACATTTAGAATATTTGATTTAAAGCCTTTGTTTACTAAGTCCAATGTCTAGGCTTCCTTGGGGATGTTTTTGTCAGTTAAATATTTTCCTCTGAATGAATCATACCTTCCTGTTTTATTTTCTTTAGATTTTAGGTCAGTAAATTTTTGTGTCTAAACTGCTGTTAAACCTATCTATTCAGTTTTTAATTTGGGTTATTGTGTTTTTCACTTGAATTTTTTTTTTTTTTTAACCACATCTGCCGTATCTTAAAAAAAAAAAAATGGTTTCTAACTCTCTACCAAAAATCTCTATCTTGTATCTCCTTCACATAATATTTTTTAGTTTTTGTTTGCTCTTTGACCTAGTTTTTCTTTATATTGCCTTATCTTTTCTTGTGACTTTTAAAATACTGTGTGTAGAACATTGTAGTTGAAATTTTATTTGCAAAAAAAATTTGAGGTCTAATAGTAGTTTTCTCATTATTGTTTAATTTGCCTTAGAGCACCTTTTCATATTCTTATCAGCCATCTTTTAAAAAGTGACTGGTCAAGGATAGTGACCATTTAAAAGTTGATTTGTTTATCTTTTTATTATTGATTTGTGGGTGTTCATTATATATCTTTTGTCGTATACAAGGGGACTTCCAAAAGTTCACAGAACAATGAAATTAAAAGATACATATAAGAAATATATGACTGGCCATGGTAGCTCACACCTGTAATCCCAGCACTTAGAGGCTGAGGTGGGTGGATTGAGTGAGTCCAGGAGTTCAAGACCAGCCTTTGCAATATGGCAAAACCCCATCTCTACAAAAAATACAAAAATTAGTTGGGCTGCCAGGTACGGTGGCTCATGCCTGTAATCCCAGCACTTTGGGAGGCTGAGGCGGGTGGATCACCTGAGGTCAGGAGTTCAAGACCAACCTGGCCAACATGGTGAAACCCTGTCTCTACTAAAAGTACAGGAAAAACAAAAACAAAAACAAAAACAAAAAAATTAGCCCAGCATGGTGGTGGCTCCTGTAATCCCAGCTACTCAGGAGGCTGAGGCAGAAGAATCGCTTGAACCCGGGAGGCAGAGGTTGCAGTGAGCCAAGATCGCGCCATTGCACCACAGGCTGGGCGACAAGAGCAAAACTCTGTCTCAAAAAACATAAAAATAAAAAAATAGCTGGGCATGGTGGTTCATACCTATAATTACAGCTACTAAAGAGGCTGAGGTAGGAGGATCGCTTGAGTCCGGGAGGTCAAGGCTACAGTGAGCTGAGATGGTGCCACTGCACTCCAGCCTGGGTGACAGAGCAAGACCCTGTCGAAAAAAAAAAAAATAGCTGGGCATGGTGGCGCATACCTATAGTTACAGCTACTAGAGAAGAAATATAAACTTTTTTCTTAACACGAGCACCATCAAGTTCAAGACACTTTTATGAGCAATGATGCCAGCCATTTAGTCCCTCCCTAAAGACCTAATGGTTCTGGGAATTTAACCATGGCCATTGAGTCTTTTTTACATTATTAATTGACAAAATGGGTACCCTTTACAGATGTTTTAAAATTAGGAAGCAAAAAGAAGTCAGAAGGAGCCAAATCAGCACTGCAGGGTAGATGCCTGACGATCTCCCATGGAAACTCTTGCAAAATCAGCCTTGTTTGCTGAGAGGAATGAGCAGGAGCACTGTCATGATGGAGATGGACTCTCTGGGGAAGCTTTCCCGGGGGGGTTTTGCTGAAGCTTTGGCTAATGTTCCCTAAACACTCTCATACTAAGCGGATGCCACTATTCCTTGTTACCCCTCCAGAAAGTCGGCAAGCAGAATGCCTTAAGCATCCCAAAAGCTGTTGCCACAATCTCTGCTCTTGACTGGCCCACTTTTGCTCTGATGGGACCACTTCCAGCCCTCAGCGCCATTGCCTTGACTGCGCTTTGTCTTCAGGACCACACTGGGAAAAACATGTTTCATGTCGTTACAGTTCAAAGAGAGCTTCAGGATCTCCATCCTACTTGTTCAAAGTTTCCACGGACAGTTCTGCTGTTTCCCTGCGCCCGATCTCGGTGCAGTGATTTTGGCACCCACTGAGTGGAAAGTCTGCTCAACTTCCATTTTTCTGTCAGAATTGTGTAAGCTGAACCTACTGAGATGTCTGCGGTGTTGGCCACTGCTTCTGCTGTGATCCAGTGTCCTCTGCACTTACGGCTCAGACCAGATGAGTGTTTTCCTCACCAAGTGATACGGATGGCCTGCCACTGTGGGCTCTGTCTTCAGCATGGTCCCATCCCTTCTTAAAACAAGTCAACCATTTGTAAACTGCTATTTTCTTTGGGGGCATGGACCCCGTAAACTTTTCAGAAAGCATCAGTGATCTCACCATTCTCCACCCAAGCTTCACCATCCAGGTGATATTGGTTCTTGCTTGGCAGAATTCACGTTATTGTGATGGAGGCTCTTTTCAAACTGAAATCTTCTCCTTCTTAGTGCCTCAGACTGCCTCCTCTTCAGACATGTTATCATGAGTTAGTACAAGTGTACTTGGCTGCGAAGATCTTTTTTGAAAGTCATGCATAGTTTTTTCATGATATGTATTTTCCATGAACTTTTTGAAGACCCTGTAATGGATATAGTCTACTGATCTGTGGCTTCTGTTTTTGCTTTCTTAGTGGTGAACATGAAATGGCAAAAATTTTAATTTTGTTTTTCCTAAAAGCTTTGCAGCTTTAGCTATTGCTTTTGGTCCGGTGAGCCATCTCAAATGAACTCTCGTGTATATTCCGATGTAGAGGTCAGTCTGTTTTCTTCCTCTATGCATATCTGATCGTTCCAGTCCCTTCCTCTCCATATTGAATTGGAATTGGGCAGACATTTGTCAAGTGGCCTTTGGTGTGTAGGTCCATTTCTGAATTTGCTATTTTGTTTCCTGTAGCAATTCCCTTATTGTGGCAACACCACACTCTCTTAATGACTGACGTTTTCTAGGAAGTTTAATCTTTGCTCAGGAAAGACTTTCAGTATTGATCTTCTTCAAGAATTTCTTGATTTTTTTCAGGTCGTTAATATTTGCATATGTTTTAGGAACAGCCTGTCACTTTCTGCAGGCTAGCCCACTGGGATTTCGATTGGGAGTGTACTCAGTCTGCCGATTAGCTGGGTGAGATTAGACATACGAACAACACGAGCATTCCTGTGAACGTGGTGTCCATTTACTGGCATCTTTTTTGTTTCTCTGCAGTGTAAAGATGTTATACATCTTTCATTAAATTTATCCCTAGGTAGCTGATGTTTTGGAATGCTATCATAAATATTAGTTTTCTTTAAATTTCCTTTTCCAGCTTCCTGTTACTAGAATATAAAACTATGGTTGACTTTCATATCTCATATCCTGCGATTGTGCTAAATTTGCTCTTAGTTCTAGGAATTGGTTTGTCCGTTCTTGTGGGTTTTCTGCACACACAGTCTTATCATCTGCACGAGGCCAGTTCTCCTTCTCTCTGTCCATTCTGTGCGGGTGACTCCTTTTCCTGCCCGCCTGGAGATCCCTGCTGTGTCGACTGGAAGCATGGAGGCACCTCGGGGAGGTGTTTGGCATTTTGCTGTGGGCAGGGGCTCAGCTGTTAGTTCCGTAGAGGCCCTTCCAGATGAGGAGGCCCCTCCAGCCCTGGCTGCTGAGCATGATTTCCAGGAAGGGGTGTGGAAGTCGCCGAGTGCCCTCCATGCACCTGTGACCAGTGCCCAGTGGGGCCCTCCCTGGAGTGGAGCGGAGTGACTCCCCGTGGCCAGCAGCCTTGCCTTCCTGGGGCACACCCCGCATACGGCTTCTCCCCGGGCTGGGAGAGTGGAAGGGCTGCCTTGCCACCACCTCCCTGCATGCTTGCTTTGCCCAGGTCCTGGGGCATTGCGCCTGCCAGCTCCTGGGTGGTTCATGCTCCTGTGAGGGCACTGAGCAGCCAAGCAGGAGGCCTTTGTGGTGGCTGAGTAGAGGCGTGTGGGGCCACTTACGCACCCTCAGGGGCCAGGCCCCACCAGTCCTCCTCCAAGGCCCGTTCTGGCTGGTGGACATCGGGTGTGCGGCCTAGAGACTATCAGCCTGCAGCCTGGGGAAGCAAACAAGGGAGGGTGATGGTTCGTGGCCCCACACCATCATTCTGGTGTCAGCCCTGAGGGGGTGCCTGTCACCGCAGCTTCCAGGACCGCTGTCTCCTGAGGATGGAGACACCGTGGCACCTTGGGGGCCACTCAGGGAGGCCAGCTGATTGCAGCCACGTGTACCTTCCTCTTCTCGTCTCTGTGTTTTGTAGATGACCGCACCTCGAGCAGGAGTGGGGATGCCACGTCTGCCCCCAGCGCCCGGCCCGCTCTCCACCACGGTCATTCCCGGAGCCGCCCCGGCCCTGTCCGTGCCCACACCAGGTACTGCCCTCTCCAGCCTCCCAGCCCCATCCTGTGCGCTGCCTCTGGGTCAGTACGGAGGCCTGCTCCCAGCTCCAGTGTCCTGGGGGCCCTGGGCAGGCCAGGTGGGCCAGCTGGGGGCACAGGGCAGCTGGAGCCCCCCGCAGGTGCCCGTGCTGCCGGTCTTCTTGCGGCCACCTGTGGTCAGCATGCCCGGCGCCCGGCTGCGGATCACGTAGCCTTCTGCCCTGTCCCTTGCCAGATGGTGCCCGCGGAACCGCCCGGAGAAACCAGGTGTGGTTTGGCCTCCAAGTCCCCCCCACCGCCTGCTGTGGGCACAGCACTCAGCCGCGAGGGGGACAGCGGGTGGGCAGCAAGACTGCTTCCTTTGCGGCTTCAGACCCTGTTCGCTCCTAGGTTCCTGTGGTCCACGCGCCGTCTCCACACCCACTTCCTATACTTGAGTTGGTGGTTAGAACCTTGTCGTCACCCTGCAGAAGTACAGTGCCTTGAATGCCAGCTTTTCCGTTCCCTGATGAAAAGATATGTTTAAAAAAATTATCGGAAAAGGTTTCATTTGCAATTGGCTTGTGCATTGATAATCTTTATTTACTGTTTTAAGTTGCAGAGATGTGAATGGTTTACAAATCTGAAGCTGAAGTTCAATCTTTGGTTTTCTGTTGTAAATGCCTTTTTAAAACATTGAATTAGCTACCTTAAGTACTGAAGAGCTTCCAGTGCTAGGCGAGCCCTGCTTTGTCCTCAGTAGAGTGCCGGTTCCCTGGGCTCATCCAGGGGCTGAGAGACGGCAGGACGCTGGGGCAGGGCACACTGGCGGAGCTGCTTGCTCAGTAGGGAATGTCAGCTGCTGCACTGGGCCATGAGAAATCCACCAGAAAACGTTAGGCGAGCAAACGTGCCTCGGCGCCAGTGGGCTGCTGTGAGGATAAGGTGTGTGTTGGGCGTAGGAACTCTGGCTGCCCGCCCACCCTGTGGAGACAAGCACAGCTCCTTCAGCTGCAGAGGCCGCCCTCTCTCCTGCCCACTTCCCTCCCTTCTCCATGATTTCCATGGAGGCCTGCGGCTCTGCTCACCCCTGGCACGCAGACCGCTCTCCTGTCCACCACTCAGTCTGCTCTGCGGAGGGCGGGGTCATTCTTCTCCTGGAGATTTCAGTGGGACTCGTCCCCAGCGGGCACAACATAGCCCTTGGTGGGAGGGGAAGGCCCCAGCCTCCTCCACCTCCTGCTGGAAAGCAGGCTGCTTGGGACTGCCCAGCTGTGAATTGTATAGTTTCTGTACTTATTAGAACTGGGTACATTATTTTGGTTCAAATCTATTATTCCATCAATTCAGTTAGAATTGAATTTTCTAGGTGTTATGCAGAATCTTCTGCCAGGGCACGATGCTGTCGTAAGAGATTTCTGTTCTCTGTACTGGGCCCCCTTGCCCTGTTCCTTGAGTGAAGTGGGGGCTGCCCTCACCTGTCCCCCTTGCCTGTGAATCCCTTCCTCGTACATGGTGGTCAGTGGCACGGAATCCCCAAGAGATTGTATATCTGAAGGAGAAAAATAAACACTTTTGCTCGAAAACAGTGTGAAACAACATCTTTTTCTTACTCTCTGTCCATATAAAATCCAAACCAACCAGCCTCCTAGGCAGCACAGGAGTTGGGAGCCAGTACTGGGCTCAGCTGCATCCACACCTCTGGAGGAGGGCACTGAGGGGCTGTGGGTGCCACCGGATGCTGGGCAGGGCTGGCCCTGGCAGGGGTCTGAGAGCAGGGCATCTGGCAGGGCTGCCTGGCCCCCAACACTGCCCCTGCCAGCTGTGGCCTGGGCCCTGAGCACAGTCAGCTCTGCCGGTCGGGTTAGCTGGCTGGGCTTCCTACCACTGTGCACCTGGTTACGCTTAGCAGTGCCACAGGCTGTGCCCATGATGGAGGGAGCCAGCCTCCTGGTCAGCGAGACACACCTGCAGCCCCTGTCTCCAGGAGGCTTGGTTTGCATCACTTGCTGCAGCCCCTGGGGCCACCCTCTTTGCTCCAGGTGGGCCGAGCTCAGGGGAGGTGGGAGGTCCTTGGACGAGCTTGGGCCTGTTGAGAGAGGACTTGGGGCTGGGGTTGCCCGGGTATTATGCAAGGGGCAGTGGCTTTCCTGGTAGGCACAGGGGCCTTAGGGAAAGTGGCCATCCAGGGTGGGGACTCATCCTGGGGGCACGGTGCATGGTGGCAGCCAGCCCCCCGGCCTCCCACTAAAGACAGCCTCCAGCTGACTGCAGTCCCTCCTGCACATGCTGCATCGCAGGCCTCACCGTGAGCAAGCTGAGGGTCCCAGTGTCTCCTGCCCGGTCCACTGTGGGGGCTGCCATGGCTGTGGGGCCACCTCCTCAGAGAGCTGCAGCGCCAGCCTTCGAGCTTCTGCATGGAGGGAGGAGGAGCGCTCGTCCCAGAGCCTCCTGTTTTGGGTGTTGGGGGCAGCTCGCTCCCAGATGCTCCGGACAGTCCAGGAGCTGAGCGTCTGGGTTTCTGGCAGCCGTTCAGTGTGCTGACCGGTCACACAGAGAAGGGTGGCCCAGGTGACAGAGGCTGCCAGGGCTATGCTGAGGACAAGACCATCTACACAGGGCGTGGGTCACGGCAGAGCTGGCGCGGCCTTCCTGTCGGCAGCTCGGGAGGGCGTCAGGGCCCGGCCTCGGCGAGCGGCCAGCACCGCAGCGGGCCCACAGTGAGTGCGCGGTTTTGTTTTCCAGATCCTGAGGGTGAGAAGCCTGACTGACCCCGCCTAGACGCCAGGCCCACTTCACGCCGTCTAAGTGGAGACGTGACGGACCCTCAGGGCCAGCTGCTCCTCCTGTCCAGTTCACGCTGTTTTGTAACCACTTTCTAAGCATTTTTTATTCACAATTGGAAACACAAATGTAATGCAAGAATAAAAAATATTTTGGGGCAGAAAGGACTTTGGTTTTTCAAACTCTTTCCTCTCTGGTGGCCCTCCGCCAGCCAGGTGACTGGGATGTGACGGCAGTGGGGGGACATTCCCAGAGCCCTGGCACGCTCAGGGCAGCCCTGTTCCCTGCAGGGCCCTGGAGGTGGCGGCCCCCGGGAGGCTGATCTCCACGTTCCCCCGATGCCAGCTGGCATGGACTCGGGGTGCTGGGTGCCTCCTGGCCTTTGCTCACAGCGCTCCATGAGGCAGGGCCTTCCCTCTGGTCTTTGGACGCTTGAAGCCACCCACCACCCCCACGCCCACCTCCCAGGCACCCTCCTTCCAGAATTCACTTACACTGGCAGGGAAAACACCAGTGGCCTGGGGTCGGAAACCTCTGGCTGTGGGTGGCAGGCCCGAGACCACCGGCTCCTTGGAGGGCTGCATTCCCCCCACTCCTGGGAGGGGTCCTAAGTGTGAGAAACGAGGAATGTTGGCATGGCCTCACCAAGAAAACATGCCGTGGTAAGGTCCCCAAACCCTAGCCTGGCCAGCAGGCACAGGGGCCTTACGCTGGGTCCAGAGGTCTAGGGAGAATTTGGGGCCCCATGTATCACCATGAGAAAGCATTGCATCTTTATTGTCATTAATGTCTAACTGCAACTTAGCATTTCCTCCATTAACAGCACCTGGACTTCATCACCACTAGAAACCACAGATACTGCTGTGCCGTTTCATTTACATCCATGACACGGTGCCCTTCCCTGAGATGTAAAACTGTCCAGCCGGCTGATAAGAGCGGTGCTGCCTGCCCGTCTCAGACATGAGGCTTCAGGGCACGGCAACGCTGCTTCCCCACAGGAGTGTCGGGGATGCCACCCCGGTGTGTGCGGGTGGCCTCGGAGCCCTGGTTCTCCTCCGTGTGATCAGCAGGGTAGGCCGCCTCCAAGCCTCAGCTGGCAGCAGGGACAGCACAGTGCTAGGAACATGGCTTCCCTTGGTCTTAGTTTGTGTTCTCTTCTGTTGGTGGCTCATGTGACTGGTTTTCTGTGGACCATAGTAATGCGGTTTGCCTTTTCTTTCTTTTTTTTTTTTTTAATGAGACAGAGTCTTGCTCTGTTGCCCAGGCTGGAGTGCAGTGATGCAAACTCGGCTCACTGCAACCTCCGCCTCCCAGGTTCAAGGGATTCTTCTGCCTCAGCCGCCTGAGTAGCTGGGATTACAGGTGTGCGTCATCAGACCCGGCTAATTTTTGTATTTTTGGTAGAGATGGAGTTTCAGCATGTTGGCCAGGCTGGTCTCAAACTCCTGACTTCGTGATCTGCCCGCCTCAGCCTCCCAAAGTGCTAGGATTACAGGCATGAGCCACCGTGCCCGGCTGCAGTTTGCCTTTCAAACTGCACATTTATTTTAATCATTCTCTGTAAGTGAATAATAGTGTAAATGTCAATGGTAAAACTTGGTGGTAGTGTGGTAGTAAATAGTAGTAAAATGGTCAATGAAACAGTAATGGTCAAGCCAGCACCCTCTGGGGACATTCTGCACAGTGCACTTCAAGGACTCTGGGGCCCCGAATCCCAGCTTCATCTGCTGCTCAGAACCACCTAGCAGCCCTCCAGGGGCCCCAAGGCTCAGTCTCAGAATCCAAGGCTCTTGGTGTTCAGCCTCACCCACTAGACATGTCCCTGCTTCGGGCTTCACTGCTGCCGCATAGCGTGCGAGCCGGGCCCGGATTCATTCTTGACCCCCCCAGTCCCCAAACCCCCTTCCATCCAGTCTCCGCGCTGCAGCCTGCAGCCTGCTGTCCCCTCCCCTGGGTTCTAGCGCACAGTCTGGGTGGATGGCTCACCAGAGCCCCAGAGACCTCAGCCCCTCGTGTAGAGTTCTCATGGATGCATGTTATTCGTTATGCTTGACTTCCTGAAAGCAGGGACTTAAAATTGTTTTTTGATAGCCCTGCACCTTCCAGAACAGTCACTGAGTGAATTGTGCTGATGAAGGCAGACTCTACTTTGGGCAGGTGAAGCTTCCAGTGGGAGCTTACTGGCTCTGATCACAGCATTTCCGGGATAGAAAGGACCCTGCCAGGCCCCTCCTAGGACAGCAAAGGCAGCACCACCTGGGGCCAGTCCAGGCTCCTCCTGCAGGGGCAAGGCAGCCAAGCCACAGCCTCTGTTCTCCAGTGTCATTTTGTTCTTCGCTGACCCCAGCATCCAACCAGACTTCCAGTGTCCAGGGTGATATCTGTGCCTCATCTCCAGGCTGAAGAGCTTCAGTTCTCTGAAAAGTGCTTATTACTAAAGGGCTGGTAAGGCTAGGCACGGTGACCCATGTCTGTAATCCTGGCACTTTGGGAGGCTGAGGCAGGAGGATCGCTTGAGGCCAGGAGGTCAAGGCTGCAATGAGCCGTGATCACATCACTGCACTCCAGCCTGGGTGACAGAGTGAGACCCTGTCTCTAAAACAAACAAACTAAAAACAAAAACAAAAACAAAAAATAAACCATCCAGAATCGTGTCTTCATTCATTGGAGAATGCAGTTAAGCCTGGGCCGGGACGCCTGCCTTCCAGGTGGTTAAGGGAGTTCAGCAGTGGTGACCACTCTGTACACATCGTGGTTGTGGTCCCGGAACTTGGCTTTATTAGACTTGCCCTTGAGAGGGGGCAGAAGGCCCGCATGCCACAGGCATCACTGTGCTGGTGGTGGCTCATGCCGTCCTGCAGAGGTGCGGAGAAGAGTCCCTCACCCTGAGAGGACACTGGGGGTCGAAGGCTGCCCGAGGCCAGGCTGGAGGGGGAGGCAATGCTGTCCCATGCAACTCTGTGAAGAATCGTTCATTTCTCACTGAGGGGACAGCAGGGACCAGGGTCCTGGGCTGCAGGGATCACAGCCACAGCCAGCTGGTTCTGCCTC